GAACAATGAGATCTTCAAGGGACATCTCCTTGCGTTTGTGTTTCAAGTAGTTTTTGAAGTTCTTCCACAAAGGAGGCAACTTCTCAATCATCGCTGCTACTTGGAAAGCTTCATTGATGACAAGACCTTCAATGAAATTTCTGTTAGTAAAAATACTAAGATTACTACTTTCAACATCAGTATTAATTCGATTTATACCTTCAGCAAGGAGATCGTGAATAATCACTTGCACTTCCTGGATTTGGATAATAACAAACTTGCTATCTACCATTTTGTAGTCCAAAAACTTTGCAGCAACGAACTTCTTCAACCCAGCATCTTCGGTTTTGTATTTCTTTTCAAGAGCAGTCCACAGTTCTTTTGACATTTCTAAGCCACTGTAAACGTTATACAAAGCATCCTCCAGCCCGCTTAGAATATAATTTTTGCACAAAAAATCTGAATGCTTCCACGCCTCAATCACGAGAAAGCGTTCAGTTTCTCGAGTTTCATCGGACAACACAGGAACATCTTCCTTGATGAACTTCTGGAGACTTAGAGTAGTCAAATAGAAAAACATTTTTTGCTGTCAGCGCTTGAAATCAATCCTAGAAAAGTTTCTATGTTTCTTTGCTGGTGCCAATGCTGCCGGTGTTGTTCGGCTCGTTGAGGTATTGGCAGTCACCATTGGAACAACTTGGTTCACATTATCATTAGCCATTTATGTAAAAGAATGACACAAATATTAAAATCACGTAGATTTTAATCTCCAATAGAGTACAAAACCACAAAGATTTTTCTTTCCAGAAACAGTGAGTACAAATATAGAAAATATATTAAATTCCTTAAGCTTGTTAGAACTGTATTTGTAAAATAAGTCTGGAAAATATATATGAACATAAATAAAAATGAAAAACAGAAACATAATTTTAATCCGAGCTCACTGAATTCACAGTGTTTCCTTAAGGAATTTAATCCCCTCCTAGTACCCAAGGTTATGGATTATTTCCTCCCAGGATAGAACGAATTACACACTGGTGTAGTGGTACTTCAAACCCCGGTGTTTCAGCTAACACAAAGTTCGGTAGCAAATTACACTTACTGTTGCTTTATTTGATGTTAAGAGTATGCAGAAGGAGGAAAAACTCAGAAAATTCGTATGGAAATTCTGAGCAGAATTGACTTGTATTTATAGCCAAAGTTGGGCTGAAATCTGAAGAGATATAACTCTTCAGAATGGTTGTTTATGCAAAATGGCCACAGCATAAATGTCATAACATAAATGGCTATTTACTCAACAATAAAGAGGGAAAATAAAGAGGAAAAATTGAAGAGTGTAGTTTAATTTTTAGTTACACAACTGAAAAACGGATTAGAGGATTTAATATTAATATTTATTTTAATATTAATATTCTGTTATTAAAACAAATATTTAATAACATTTCTATTAATATTTTACTATTAACAAATAAATTTGGTCCAAAAAATTAATCAATCAATGAAGCTGAAGCCGAGCAAGCGCCTACGGCGCGAGGTTTGCCTTCTTCGCAACTCTTTAAGAGCTAGAAGAAGAGCACTTGCTTATATACCCATAAAAAACTTCTTCCTCTTCCAATATGGGACAATGTCCCTTTGCCAAGGGGGAAAACTTAAAATTTCACTCAAAAATTTCATTTCCCTCCATTTCTCATTCACCCTCTTTTAAGTATTTAATATACTTAAATACATAAAACCCCAACAATTTTTGGTTGTAAGCAGCTCAAGAAGAGCAATACTGGAATTTGGTATTGGAGAAGGCAAGTTGTAAACTGGGAACTTGTAAGCTGTAATTCCAAGACGCTTTGCCTTATCGTAATGCATGTAAACGTGTTCATATGAAGTTAGTGAATGGTTAATTCTGTAATCTAATGGGACTCCAAGCTGGCACGTCTCTTTCCTATAGAGTGGCAGTTGTAAAGAACCATCTTCATAGGCAATTCCATAATGAGAGTCCTTCGCTGAAAAGGTTTTGTGTTCTTTTTCGAGTGTCCATATCTGAAGTAGACATCTTTTGATATTATACTCCCAGAATTTGGTGTCCAATTAACGTACAATCCAACCAGCATTTGATACAGCCGTGCTAGTATTGTTGCTTTTACTCGATCCCCGTCACCTGTTTTCACAAAAAAAAAAGATTAAAAAATAATTAAAAGCGTAATCCGACGTACAAAACATCATGCATTCACGCATGAGATCCGAGGTCACCTTATAAGAATTATGAAAAGATCCAATTTTGCTCTTTTGCGAGTATGGAGACGGTTAAACGGGGTTAAACGGGTCGGAAGGAGGTAGGGGTGTTCATAAAAACCCGAAAAACCGAACCAAACCGACCAAAAAAACCGATACTTTTTGGTTTGGTTTGGTTTTGGTTTTGAATTTTAAAAACCAATCAAATTTGGTTTGGTTTTGGTTTTAATCAGAAAAAAACCGAACCAAACCGACTATAGGAATAGCTATTTCAAATTTATTATTACACCTATATATATGTATATTGTTATATAAAGGTTCAAAAAATTTATGGTAAATGTTAATAGTTTGCACTTTTAATATAGTTCTTTACCTTTATATTCTAGTTTGATTGGTAGTTTTCTTTTGTTTAGTGTAAGAATCCATTTTGTGTTAAAAATAATATATTTTTAATTGAGTCCTTAAATTATTCATCACTGTTTGATTCAATTATCATCAATATATTTTGGTAAATAATAGATTTTTCAAAGGGCAATTGATTTGATAGTGTTACATAGGGTTCGCTAATATCCGGGTCAGCCAAGTGTACTTTGAGAAATTGTTTACAACTCATCATCAAAAGGAGGATAGATATAGCTTTTGTTTGGTCACAGATTTTGACTATTTTTTAAAAAAAATACTGTTTGTTGATGAAATATGATCAATTTTTGAGAAAATTAAAAAAATAATTTCAAATTCCCCAAAATTGGTTTAGACTAGTTTTTGGGTGAAATTTTTTCTTCCACTCACAAAACTCCAACTTTTTTTCAAATAAAATGCATGTCCTACAATTTCAATTTTTAAAAATTATTTTTCAACACAACTTCAAAAACTCTTCTTTTCAAATTTCAACCGAATCTATATCCAAACACTAGCATATTCTTAAAAGTGCAAGGGTAAATATGGTCTTTTTCAATGAGATAAAAAATCCAAAAAAAAAGTGATATTATATGACAAGGATAAAGAGCGAGACTAACTGATTTTGATAAATGGCAGCAGAGAATAAAATCATTAAAACGGTGTTTGACTCAAAAGATATTAAAACCTTTTTGAAGAAATCAATCAGAGAAAATGAAGGGTAAATCCTAGTTAAGGATAATTAACTCTAGATCCAAGATGATTAATATGAATAGAGAAACATAGCCGAGTATAAACATTGACAGTGATTATGGTCATATTTAATAGCATAAAGAAAGATGCATTAAATAACGTTAAGTGACAATAAAACGTAAATAAAGGAAAAAATTTATCCAATCTTGAGTGAGACGGATCTTCTTTCATTTGATAAAGATGAATGATAGACAAATGCAAGAATCTTAGGACCCTTGTTGGATTTGGTGAAAGTCTGGGATCACAGATCCTCCCATCTCTTTAGAGAGATGTGTTTACATATTTTCTAGAGAGAGTGTCACTCTTTGGTTGGTTGGTTTCATATGCAACTCTAAATGTGCCATGAGAGAATTTGATATATCAGCAGTCTATGTAAAACTTGTTAGTGTACTATTCATATACTTGGTAAACTCAAGGCCGAATATAATGGTCCTTCAAACTTGGTGCGGGGTGTCAGTTAGACACCTTAACTTTGTAGAAGTAGATAGGACCTCAACTAAGACTTTTATTATTTCAGAGAAATTAAATCAAATAAGCAAAAAATTCAAGTCAAGTCAACAGGAAAAAGGCGAGATATTACGATCAAAATCAGGAGCAGATTCTTGCTTTGTCTCGTTTATAGAGAATAATATTTAATAATGCAATATTATATTTGGAAGAAATGGTTGGTTATAATAAGTCGTGCTAGTGTTAGAATATTGTAGTAAGAGTACTTTTGCATTCCCTCCGTTTACAATAACAAGCATGGATTAAAGGGAGGAGAATTAAAAAATACGAATGATTAGGTTGAAGATATCACTCATCTGGGTTGAATATATTATCCATATATTATTTTAGAGATCTAGAGGAAACTAGAATCTTAACTAGAAAATCCCCACAGACGGTGCCAAATTATTTTACTCAAAAGATATTAAAACCTTTTTGAACAAATCAATCAAAGAAAATGAAGGTTAAATCCTAGTTAAGGATAATTAACTTTAGATCCAAGATGAATAATATGAATAGAGAAACATAGCCGAGTATAAATATTGACATTGATTATGACCAGATTTAATAGCATAAAGAAAGATGCATTAAATAACGTTAAGTGGCAATAAAACGTAAATAAAGAAAAAGATTCACCCAATATGGAGTGAGACGGATCTTCTTTCATTTGATAAAGATGAATGATAGAAAAATGCAAGAACCTTAGGACCCTTGTTGGATTTGATGAAGGTCTGGGATCACAGATCCTCCCATCTCTTTAGAGAGATGTGTTTACATATTTTCTAGAGAGAGGGAGANCCCCTCTTGGGAAGTCCTCCATTCCTATTTATAAGGGGTGTTCCTAGAAAAACCCTAAAAGAAAAGGTACAATTAGAGGGAATATTCCTTTTGAGGATTCCATAGCAGACTAGTTGTTTCATCACTGCCCGACCTTAGCTTTATTGATGATTGTCTGACCTCGGCTTGTCCGACCTCAGCCTTACGTCTCCGCGTGCCGAATTTCTCTGATCTAATTTTGACCTATACAAACGGTACAATACAATCCAATACGATACATTATAAAACGACATATAACTAAGAACCATCCAAACAAACTTTAATGGGGAACTAAAAGAAAAGAAGTTAGGAGTGTTTGCATATATATATATATATTTGCTTACTGGTATAGTTGGAGCTTTCCCAGAATACATGTCTCCTAATTGATTGCTCCATTGAAGATTGTAAAGAGGTTTTTATAAAGCTTGAAGAACAGAATGCAGCAGCCGTTACTTTCACTTCTTTCTCTCCTTCAATTGCAGCAGTATTTATACTCTCAACGAATTAAACAGTCCAACCGTGAGATATCCATGACATTCCATGGTCTTGTCTTGTCTTGTCCTGTCTTGTCATGTCGTGTCGTGTCTTGTCTTGTCCCGTGTTACCATCCCTAAACTCAACTCTGCCCCATGCATATTTTCTTTTTCCAACTCTTTGTAGTTAATGAAGATTCATATTATATTTTATATTTTTCAAGTATTTTTGTATTGATGGCAGTATGTTATAAATAATAGAAAGAATTACAAAAAAATATATTTGATTTCACACCATAACAAAAAATGACTCATATTTTTAAGTTTTACCCGATCTAACCCATATTGTACATATTTTAAAAGCACTAGCAAATTCAAAATCTATTTTCTTACAACCATTGCTTTTAATTAAAAGCTATTGAGTTAAATCTATGTTCTCACAACAATTGCTTTCACTCTCTTTTCTTTTCACATCTTCTACATATGCTTCAAGGGACCGTCCGTCATTACTGCTTCTTCCCTATGTCATCTGGTTGCAATGTAAGAAAATGGAAGATTCAACATTTCATCATTGAAGGTCATTCAAAGTTTTGCTTTCAAAAATAAGATTTTTCTGAATTTGTTTAGTTGTTTAGATTGAGTGTTATTCCAATTGATTGAAAATATCAAAAGAAGTTCAAAATTTAAATTTGAAGTGATTTGGAGTAGATTTGAGCAAGATTTGAGTTAAATTTCAGAAAAAACGCAAGGAAGAAGACAAAGTCAATTTTTTGTATAATTATGTATAATCTTGTATAATAGTGAATATGAGTGTATAAATACATCTTATACACTATTATACATTTTTATACACCTTTATACAAGCGTATGTAGACGAACTTCTTCCACGATTTTCAGTTGCAATTCTTATTCAAAATCAGTCCAAATCTCCATTAAATGACTTAAAAATTTTATATACAACCTCCTTATACTATTTCTAACAATTATAGATAATAACCACTCCAAATTTCTCACAAAATCAAATTCGGAATCTAAACCCACATATTTAAACTTGTTAAAAATCTAATTTTCACCATCCAAATGGATCAGGTTTGTTGAACTAATATTTTAAGCTTGTTAAAAATCTAATTTTCACCATCCAAATGGATTAGGTTTGTTGAACTAATATTTGAGTTACAATTACTGATTCGAAAATTAACTTAAAAGCTTGTGCAATCTTTTTTAAAAATTAAATAGTAATTTTGAGAACCTATTGGAATTGAATGTTGAATTTTAGCCTATTATTTTTAGATTAGTTGATTTTAAATTAAAATATGAATTATAAAAGTGAAAAGTAGGAATTCCAGTTGTTCTTATGCGAAATTTTTCCTAAATAATATCCAGGTCATCTGAAGGTATTTACGGTAATTATAGTAGGACATTGTCGTTAATGATTATACCGATTTCCTAAAATAAAATTGTCAGCCACCTCAAACTCTTTCCGGTCATGTATAAAGTTAGACCTAACACTATTCACGTGGTCCTTTATGATGAGGTATATTTCGTCTATTATTATTATTATTATTATTATTATTATTATTATTATTATTATTATTATTATTATGTAATTTAGGATGAAAACGATTAAACTAACTCTAACAGATAACAGAAGTAGAGAAAGGTTGGAAATAAGAAAGAAAGTTATTACTACTAATTAAGTCTAACAAGAAATAAAAAGTAGACGGAAAGTTGGCATTTGAAAACTCAGCCATTTTTTAATTGGAAAACTTGGAAAGGAATCAAATTTATTGCACTTCAATAGAGCAATTAATTTGGACACACTTATTTTGGGAAAGCTCCAACTATTCCACTAAGCAAATATTTGGGAGTAACTTAAGCTTTCAAAAGTTGCAAAAATAAAGGATGAAGTTGAAAAATAATGAGATGATTTGATAGTATTTACTTTAGTACTCGTATGTATTTACTATTTACCTTCAAAAGTAGTACTCCTATCTAGGGGTGGGCATAAAATTCGAAAAATCGAATTCCGAACCGAACCGAATTAATTTGGTATTTCGATTTTTTCGGTACAAAAATTTTGGTATTTCGGTATTTCGATTCGATATACGGTATTAGATTTTTGGTATTTCGGTATACCGAAATAATTAGCCAGTAAATGGTTGCGGTATTGTGTTAGTTTGTAGATTTTGAAAACTATTGAAGTCTGTTTCCCTAAGTATTTTGAGTTCTATCTACCATTTATTTGAAATGAGATGTTCTTTCCAGGTGAATGTTCATTATAAGACTTATTTATTCCTTTTCAACAGTAGTTTTTCTCACTGTTGAACTTGATCTAATTGTGGTTTCAGCCTAGAAACTTATCCAATCTCATGAAACATGAATATTATTGCCATACAGGGATAGATGAGGCTGATGACTTAACAAGCCATATCATTCGAAATTAGTTATTGGTTTAGCTTATATAGTTAATCTAATAAATTTGTATCAAGATATTTCACAATCACAATCTCTTATGCAGAAGCCTTAGAACATAGATTTGGTTTAAACCAAAACCGTACCGAAAAAAAATAAAAAATACCGAACCGTACCGAAATATTTTGGTACGATATTTGGTATACACAATTGATAAATCGAATACCGAAATACCGAACCGAAATTCTTAAATACCGAACCGAAATACCGAATGCCCACCCCTAGGTTCAACTGGTTTGAGGGTGGAGTTTGGCTGAAAAAGAAAGGTCCTTTTAATGGTGGAAAACGGGTGTTGTTTATGAATGATGGAAACAGAAACTTGTCATTCTTAGCTACTATTTTTGGTACTATCTACTACTGGTTCATTTTTGTACAAAAATGCAAATGGAGAAAATGGGTGTTAGGTCTGAAGTTCAGCTAATTCCCATGGAGGAAAGCTGCTGGTTTTTTTGTTTTTTTTCAGAGGAATTGTTCCATCTTTTCTTAGTTGCTGCTGCCCTCTTTTACAAAACGGTTGATTTCATAGAGTTTAGGGATCCCCTCTATTTTAGATGTTAGATACTATATATAGGGTAGGAATTAGGTTAGGGATATGGGTCTAGGAATTATGGGCTAGGGAATTGGGTCAAAGACTACAAGATTTATAAAGACGGGATAAACCAACCTAAAACTAATTTCTCCTTCTAAAATTATATACAATTATAATATAAAAATATAAAACTAATTTTAATTAATTGAACTAAACTATATTAAAATATGAAACTATTTTTGTATTTTCAAGATTATATATAAAAATAAAAATAAGCTACTATTTTTGTATATTTTTTATTTAAATTTATGAAAGATGCGTAAACTAAAGTATTTTTGTAATTTTTATTTTTCTTGTGACGAAATAAAGTAAAAAAATCAAAATTAGTTAAAATAATTATATTAGGCCTAAACTAAATATTTACGTGCTAATATATAAAAAATCTTGGGGAGGATCAAAAATCACATGTGAACAGAGTTTACTTTATTTTGGAGGAGAAAATGGAGGCAAGGGTTGGAGATGGCCTAAGGTTATTTGATTACTGGAAAGAGGATACTAATTTCGAAAAAAATTATGAGCATATATTTATTTTATATTTGGTTATAAGTATTAGCTAGTGATAAGATAAATTTATACCAAAATAGTGAGATAACTAATCCCATATAAAGGTCCAATAAGTGAGATAACTAATTCTATAGGATGTTCTGGTCTATTCCACCACCTAATAACCAAATTACTCGTTTATTAAACCAGAGACGGATTTATGTGGAGGGGCCATGCTCCCCTCCTTAGGCTATATATAAACCTAAGTTTTCAAATTAGGTACCTAAAATATTGTGGCTATCCATGCTCAATTGTCTACTCTGGTGTACTGCTGACTAAGTGCCCGTTTGTCCCTCATGTCATGGGTTCAATCCCCATATAGTTTTTTTATTTAATTGTGCCCGTTTGTCCCTCATGTCATGGGTTCAATCCCCATATAGTTTTTTTATTTAATTCTTTTATAATTAATAAATTCCTAATTTCTCATGCCCTTATTAATTAACATAATGGTGCATTCATGTTCTTAAAATTCTACGTCATTGTATTAAACTATGTCTAATACATTTTAATAGCTATAAATTTAAATATTTTTTTGTCTTCTTAATTATATAATTACATAGTCATTAAAATTATTATAATATATTTAAAATCATATATTTTTTAAAAAAAAATTATGTTTTAAATTGATGAAGACATATATTAATTTATTTTAAACAAATATAAATAATTTTGCCCAGGACCATCTCAAATCTAAACCGGATACCAACGATTTGACATCTCATACTTGCATAGATACACGTACGTACCCCACCAACTGACGCTACGGAGGAAGGAAATGAAACTAAAACATAGCTACAAGTAAAATGCAATCCCTTAAAAAGTGGGATTTGATAGGGGTGGTATATACAAATTACAATTAATCAATGATATTACAAAATTAAAAAAAATGGATGTAAATTTATAAAATCGGGATATAGTGAAACATTTTAATAGGACATGTTGTATTCTCTCTTTTCCTTTTCACTAGTCTTAGTGTACGCGCGTTGTGCATGTACATTATCACACAAATATTATACTAAAAATTATATTCAAATTACAAAATATAAGTATAAGCTCTTGAAAATGATAACATTGATCCTAAATAGTTAACTCGAGAAAGGTAGAAACTTTGTCGCTTAGAAGTCCACAATCACCATTCAAATTAGTCACTTTAAACTTTGTGTCAGTTTTATAATTTTGTCGCTTCAGTTTCACAAGTTATCAAATTATTCCTTTTTAGTTTAGCAAAAATATATAGCCCTTGAATATTTAAGAGTTTTGGTATAAATATTTTAACTATATTTGTTCGAAAAGTCACAAATATAATCAACTATACTTTTATTGTGGTACTTCAAAGAGTTATTAGATAACTCAAATTTAAA